AAAGTACGTAGACACTACAGTACTGATATAGACCTGAACTATCAGCAGGAGAGGACTCTTTAAAGTAGTAGACACTACATACTGATATACACCTGAACTATCAGCAGGAGAGGACTCTTTAAAGTAGTAGACACTACATACTGATATACACCTGAACATCAGCAGGAGAGGACTCTTTAAAGTAGAGACACTACATACTGATATACACCTGAACATCAGCAGGAGAGGACTCTTTAAAGTAGAGACACTACATACTGATATACACCTGAACATCAGGAGGAGGGGACTCTTTAAAGTAGATACACTACATACTGATATACACCAGGAGTTTCTCCTAAATTCGCCAGTTAGGAGCTACTTTTAGCCCTAAGATCCTTTGTGAATACGGCCCCTGAACATCAGCAGGAGAGGACTCTTTAAAGTAGAGACACTACATACTGATATACACCTGAACATCAGCAGGAGAGGACTCTTTAAAGTAGAGACACTACATACTGATATACACCTGAACATCAGCAGGAGAGGACTCTTTAAAGTAGAGACACTACATACTGATATACACCTGAACATCAGCAGGAGAGGACTCTTTAAAGTAGAGACACTACATACTGATATACACCTGAACATCAGCAGGAGAGGACTCTTTAAAGTAGAGACACTACATACTGATATACACCTGAACATCAGCAGGAGAGGACTCTTTAAAGTAGATACACTACATACTGATATACACTTGAACATCAGCGGGAGAGGACTCTTTAAAGTAGAGATACTACATACTGATATACACCTGAACATCAGCAGGAGAGGACTCTTTAAAATCAGATTCCCGCTCCTCTACCACACAGATATAATTGCAGTTCAACAAAACTTCATCAGGGCATTAAAGACAGATTTCCCACAGTGTGCTAATGCCATTTCCGTGTGTGACTCAGCTGTGTCTGTGCATTAAACTCTGGATGTTAAAGTGTCTCCAGCTGAGATCGAGCCCCCAGGAAGGGCAGCGAGAGAAAGTCACACACACAGTATTTAATGCAAAGAATTAACCGGGAGTCAGGTCAATACTCTCTGCTCTCTTTTCACTTTCTGCAAACTTTTTTAATCGCGTCAATCTGTTTCCTCTCGCTCTGTCCTTCCTCTGTAATCTGTCCATCACTGTTGCCCTCTTCGTCACCTTGCAGCCAATCACAGCCCCCGACTTTCACAACACAAATGTCAAAGAGAGGGAGAACACACAGGGGAGAAAAGGCTGAAACTGTGAGACAGACACAAGGCTATATTTCCTATTACTGCGTCAAAACGACAAAGATACGGGAGCTAAATTAAGAGCTGAGTGTTAAACCTGCAGCTAGCACGAATAGTGGAAGGAAATCCAATTAAAGAAAGTCCTCTGGTTGTAAAATACGTACGAATGTCCGCTCGTTTCTTCTGATAACCGTGTCATTTGCTTTGGTTATGTCTCACCATTACAATGCATCTTCCTGATAATGTACATATACATAGAAAGCAAATCTAAACCATGCCCTTCCTCCGTGTCCTTTCCAGGAGAGATTGTGTTGGATGTGGAAAGAGACGAGTGCGTGTGTGTGTGTGTGTGTGTGTGTGTGTGTGTGTGTGTGTGTGTGTGTGTGTGTGTGTGTGTGTGTGTGTGCGTGTTCATGTGTGTTTCTGGGTAGAACAAGCCTTCGGCCCTCATGCCGTGACAGCATTATTAACCTATATGCCTCTGCCCCCCCCCAGTCCCCTGAGAGCAGAGAACAGCAGGCAGACATACATCCAGCACACACTGCTGCACGAAGGCTTTTCCACAAACCATTTATATCTGTAATTATACGCTAAGCACATGCTAATTAGACTAGATCTGCATCTGCACAAGACGATTAAAAAAAGCCACAATACCAAAGGTCAGCAATGCAATCACAGCAGATAACTTTCTTATGCTTTGAGTTTTCAGGGTGTGCATCTTATAGGTCTCAATTTGATTTAAAGGTCGCATGACATGCTTTTCCGGTTATTACCCGTCCCCTTGTGTGTTATGAAGGTTTTTCTGCATGTAAACGGTCTGCAGAGTCACAAACCCTCAAAGTACACCCTGTAGGGAGTACAACTCTAACACAGAGAAGACCTGTCTATGCTGCCCCAGAACGTCTCGTTGGACATTTCTCTTCTTCCATTGTTTGCTTCCTGAGTATAGTGACGTAACCATGCCCAGGTCCATTTCGACCAATCCGTGGAGCTCCTCACACACACACACACACACAGTCACTCAGCCTTATCTTATCTCAGTTGCGGCTCCGCGGATCTCCGCACACTGTGAGTGCGTGTGTGTGCTCAGGCTGAGTTTCGCGGTGTCTCGCTGTCTCGCAGACCCCACACAGCAACCAGGAAACGACACCAGCAACCCAGCTCACACTCACCGCTCCTCGAGCCTCAAAGGGCGGAGCAGCGAGCCCCTCAACGTCCCGCCAACACGGCACCCAGACCCCACGCAGCATTCTCATCTGTTTGTCATTGCTGGTGTCATTTCCTGGTTGCTAACAAACGCCATTGTAACACATAACGGTGGTGGACTCATCAGAACAGAGTGGGCGAGCTGGCCAATCAGAGCACAGTGGGCTCACCGGGAGGGGGGGGGGGCAGGAGCTCCAACAAGCCGTGTAGGACAGAGAGTGAATACACATACTTTTTATGACATGAAAGTTCGATTTTCCTGCATTTTTATTGAACTAAATTCATCTCCTCTGTGTTCAGGCGTGAGTCTGGCAGCGACGCCTGGGTCCAGTGCAACGACACCCCGGTGAAGATCTGTAAATACCCGGTCCACGGCCTGAAGGTGGGGAACTCGTACCACTTCAGGGTCCGAGCCGTGAACAGCTCTGGGATCAGCAGGTCGTCCAGAAAGTCGGACAAAGTGACCGCCCTCGATGCCGCCGAGAGCGAGAGGCTGCAAGGTACCGATGAAGGTAAATAACAGATCCAGATGCAGAGAGGAAGCGATGTCTTCTAACGGGTTCTGCTGTTGTCGTTTCCTGAAACAGTGATTAAAATCGAAGGGAGGTACGACATTCTGATCCATGACGATGATCTGGAAGGTACAGCGTGATCTGGGATCAGATATTTATTACTTCTTAGATTCTGATAGAAATACTAATGTGTGTCCCTCTTTCCAAACCTCTTCAACAACATAATCACTTTACATTCAACATTTAGACCAATCACCTTCCTCTGCTCAATGGAGGGTATGTCCTCTCTATGTATATGGCTACAAATTGAAAAACCACGTCAAAAAATGTTTTCCGATGTATTTTTAGGTGGTTTTTCAAGTTTTTTGATGTGATTTTTCCAATTTGAACAAAGAAAAACCATCACAGTCTCCAGAGGAAAAAGTTTTTTTTTTTTTCACACAGTTTCTTCTTAAAGTTGTTTTTTAAATATTACGTCTGAATTGAAATTGAAATTTTCCAGATTTTGTCTCAGGGTGCACTATATCAGAAGAAACATGGCATTATTTAAAACATTCTCAACCACTCACCAAGCCAGATCAACATTTTGAAATTACATATATTTCTTCAGGAAGGAAGTTAAAACATCACATGATATCTTTCCATACAGGTTTAATAAGCTAAAGCTAATGAATGGCCTCTTTATTGGATGTCAGTGATAGCACCAAACACCACATCTTCTCTCCCAGGGTAACATCTAAACATGAGTCTATTACAAAACAAAAATACACACAAACACTGATCTCTTTTTTCCCGCTGTCACTTCAAAACTAATTGTTCTTCCGCTCTAACTTGTGGATATTTACCCGACACAAACTATTACCCGCCCCCTCCTTTCCTAACTGTTCCGGTGCCGTCTTCATTTAACCCCCGTCTCTTTCTTTAATACAATAATCGACTGAAGTGGTTTTAGTGTTTTTTATCAATTAAACCACTTGAAGTGTCTCCTCTTTAAAACAAACCTTTAACACACAAACTAAACACCTTT